ACTTTTTTTAATTTTTTTTCAAAATCGGTTCAGGGGGACTGGTTAAAGCTCCTCCACCCCCTGAACCGGTCAGAACCACAATACACCCTCTGTAGGGGTGTATCAGATCCTTGTAAGATGGCCTCACACAAAAAAACCACCTGTTAAGAAAACAATTGAGTATTAAATTTTTTTATAATCTCATTTTTACCCTTCTTTTTCTCCCTTTCCTCTCCCAGAGATAAGATTAGCGCCCCACAGCACCTTTCACCTATGTATTGGGAACATCTTTCCATGACAAGTACAGTAGATATTCCCAATGCTGAGATGTGCAAATGGAGTGTCCTATGTGGAGTCCAAATCTGCTTCTCACTGAGCGCACCTCACACCATCCACACAGAATGTCCTGGCCACACATCAGGAACATTTCCCGTACTCGTATTTATTATTCATGGGGAGATATTCCCAATACAGGATAGAATGTGGCTGTGAAGTCAGTGTGAGGCACTCTCTGAGAGGAGTATATCCTAATTCCCCTCTGTGGGGTGCCAAAGTGATTTCATCCTCTCCCAAGTCCCAACCTTTAAACCCCAATACTCTCTCTCCCTCTCTCTCCCTCTCTCTCTCTCTCTCTGATATTCTCGTCCTCAGGTAACAGTAGCAGCTGGAAATGGAATAATATTCATACACGAAATCCTGTAACATCAAAGGTGATAACTGGGAACACCAACGCCCTCCAATTGGGATCCTTGAAATCCATAGCTTCTTTCTCTTACACAATCTCGGCGTTCAAGCATCATGGCCTCCCTTCTACAAGGATCCGTTCATTCCCATTGCTGATACCCAATGAACCAATAGCAGCTCTCAAATTTCTTAGATTGAAGCTATTATATGTGGGCTTATTGACATGATCGAACACCACCTCATCAATTAATCACCCCATGTGGATCCAACACTAGACTCAACCCAAGGTACCCCTACCCTGCATTCTTTCAAAACTCAGAAGCTTCATCAAGTGAGAACAAGTGTTCTACAGAGGTAAGGACCTTTCCCACAGTCAACAATGAAGAGCTTATGGACTGCGTATATTTTGAATTGAAGGCCACACTCAGTAAGGGGTAGCCCATCCTCAAGATCCCAGAAAAGCTTGTACACAAGGCTGTGGCAATCCTGATTCCTGAGTAATAGTTCCATGGAATGACAATTCATCTATATCTAGGCTTTGATTGACCAGCTTACTAGATCTAAAATGGGCCCAATTCATGGCTCAAGGTCCCCAACTGATTTTGCAACTTGTAAGCATTTGCAGACTTATCAAGTAACAATCTCTATCCATCAAAAAGTAACATAAATCTCTCTATATGCGTTCCAGGTGGTGCATGCATCAATGTTAAGAGGGTGGATTCTCGGAGGTTTCAAAACTTAAGCTGAACATGAGATATATCGATTAACCGAAAAAATACTAAATAATTTTATTTTTTATATCGGTAATCCAATTTTTTATGTTTTCTAAAATGCCAAAGTCAAGATCCTTGCATTTGCTATTTTTTCAATCGCATCGCCTTATTAGCTCGGCACTGTATTGTTGTTTTCAACCACAGAAAATCTACGTATTTTTATCTTGATTTATGTTTTTTATTCAAGTAGAAAATGTATCAAACTCACACACTACATGCTTTTCAAATTTATATAAGCATAGACAAATAATTTCAGCAAAAAGAATGATAATGCAAACGCAATACAATCGATCACAATAAAAGGGCTCTTTCAAAAAAGAACCAAAGCTTTTCCCCTTCTGCAACAAATTCATTGGACGAGCATCCCCGACCTCTTCGGGACATTACAATTCGTTTAGAAAAATGGGGCAGAGCTGAGATTGAAAAATGGGAAAAGTAAGGAATGTGAGATGGAAACAGTAGACGAAGCGGGATCAAAGTGAGCCCGTCATCTGTGGATACACCCATCTCTACGGTTGTCTGGCCGCTGCCCGTTCCCAAATTGAAACCGGGCTTTCACTGTATGCACTCATTGGTTCTTGAAAAAGGGTATCAGAAAAATTAAGCCCTTTTTCTCTATATAGAACGAATGCGAAACCGTTGAAACATTCAATAAGAGAAGAGATATCATGGCGCACTTTCAGCTTAAATACTTCCACGCTCCATCTCTTTCCTATTTAACATTACATCCTCTACAAACTAGAACCAATAAATCTGACCAATCGATACAAATTCGCAGGAAGACAACAAGAAATCTAAATCAAAGGACATATAGTGGAGGCTCATATCAAGTGTAATTTTAGAATTCTGTCATCGTGGGAGCAAACCCATGGAAGGAACGAAGAACGAAGAACGAAGAGAAAAGGGTATGAAGACACCAAGCTTACATTATTGGAGATTAATGAAGCGGCACCTTCTCCCCCCTTCTCTTACTTCTCTTCTTCTCTAACAGCTCAAGGGTTCTCGAAACCCCACTCAAGCCCTCTCTCTTTATAATCATGGCCTTAGTTACAAACAACATCTATAGACATTTAGACATTAAACAGAGAAAGAAAATAAATCAAAACTGAGTGCCGAAACAGAATATGAGAAAATCTAACGCGAGAGAGAAAGAGAGGGGGAGGGGGAGGGGGAGAGAGAGGGGGGAGTGAGAGAGAGAGAGGTCTTCAGAGGAGATTATATAGGGAGGAGTCAAGTAACTAGGGTTTCAAAGTATTCCCCCCTACGATTCTTAAGAAGCACTTCGGCACACATACATAAATACGCCACCAGTATTTCCATGCTCATTTCTCCAAACCTACCTCAAGTAACTAGGGTTAAGCATGGATCGTATAGGGAGGAGTCAAGTAACTAGGGTTAACCTTTATGATCATTATACTTGTCCAAACCTACCTCAATTAGGGTTGAGCATGGATCGTATAGGTCCGGTTTCAGAACCCGAAACCTAAATCAGAACATATCCTATCAAAATTAAGTTTGAGGGTGAGTTTTGGCCTTGGCATTTAAGATTGATTTTAGGGTTTATCCGTGAATTTATTTTTTTTATCATTTTCTAGGAAAAAATGAAACCTGTTATTTAAATTCTTGATTTTCAATAATAATAACAACAATAAAACCTTATATTACTTTTATTGATTAAGTTGAATAATTTAATTTGAAAATTATCATAATATATTAATATATAATACAAAACTTAACATCTCTAAGACAACTTTTGATTCCAAAGCCAATTCCACCAAAGTCAATCAAAGCAACCAGCTTGAGTGAGACAATTCTAAGAATTTGAAACCAAATCCTATCTGATAGTAAATTGGATAGGATTGATTCAAGGCTGGTTTAATGTCAATTTCAGTTCCGAGTAGAACCTGCCCACTTTCTTGTCCCTGGGATAAATTACAAAGTACCACCTGATATTTTGGGATAGTGACACTTGACCTTGAACTTTCATTTGTGCCAAATACCCACCCTAAACTTTTGATTCTAACACTTTGCCCCTACCTTGTTAAGCATAGGGATGGCAATTTCTACCCTGTCCAATAACCCCTYCCCAAAAACACTTTTAATTCTAACACTTTCCTCTAAAAATTGGATTTTGAGGTAGGGATGAGTTTCTGGAGACAACCCATACAAGTAGGGTACTAGAATTAGGCTAAACACAACCCTCCCCGTGCAACATATTATTGGAAGGCGTATGAACTTATATATACTAGGTGTTGAATGTAACAATATTTTAAAATTTATGTAAAGAACTTATTTTGGTATTTGGTGATACACACCACTACTAACCCCTCCCCAAATTCAATGGCTGAGGGAATAGAATCCATGTCTATGTTGGAGCAAACAAGATAATATACCAACTGAGCCACCCCTCAATAAATGTATGCCGTACATGTTTAATCAAATAATTTAAAATTTTGATGTTTGGTCATGTTATTTTACTTATTACTTGTATATAGTAAGAAATTAGGTGAAGGTTCTAAACCCAATCCACCAATATGACCCACCTCACCTTCAAATGCAAAGAGTATTTTGCATTCCATGTCTAGAATTTACAAAACCCTCCCTGAACCCACCCCCATTGTCATCCCTAATCAGGTTTGATAATAAAAGATAAACTTGCTAAAATGTCCATTCAAAGTTCAATAAGCTAGGAGAAGAAAACATCAAAACAACAATAATAGAAAAGTTGCATGGTAACTCTTGTTGTATTTTTTATTTTTTTCAATTTTTAGTATTTTTTATTTCCCCTATCTTCATTTTTGTTGTATCTTTTGTATTTTTGCAATTTCTTGCATTCTTTATTTTATTTTATTTTTTTGTATTTATCAATTTTCTACAAAAATGGTCTCATAAAATGATATAAGGGCATTTAGACAAAGTTTGGGAGTGCTTATTTGAAAAAAAAAAGTAAATGATTATTCTAATAAAAACTTATGAAATGAGTGTTTGGAGAAAAAGCACTTATTTATTTCAAACAGGGGTAGTATAGGTATTTTCAACATAATGTGATAGACCAGAAAGGAAATAAGAACTTAAAAATAAGCCCTAAATATTGGGCTTCTGGAATAAACACTTATATCTATTTGTTTGTTCTTAAGTCTGACACCTAAAAATGCAATAATTACATCAAGAGGTATATTGGTATTGGTGAACTTTTCTTTCCTCTAAACTCTAAATACAAAGAATGTTGTTCAGAATTCTGAATTTTAAAAATTATCAAATATCCATTTTGACCCCATATATGAATTTTTGTTTGTCTTTTTTGGGGTATCATTGGAAAACAAAAAAGTGTATAATTGCACTTTAAGAGATAAGAGATAAGAGATAAGAAGAAACGAACAACCATTTTCCTCTTAAAGTTAAAAGATTCCTCTTAAGAGATAAGAGTTAAGAGGATTCCTCTTAAGATATAAGATTTAAGAGGATTCCTCTTATTTAGAGTTTTGCACTTATTTCTCAAACACAAATAAGCACTTATTAGTGTGGTGATGGGCCCCAAAATAAGTGCTAATTTTTAAGCATTCCCATAGCCTTATGATGTTTTTTAGAAATGCTTAAACAGGCGTATGACAGTCACGTGAGATTCATTTTGGAAGACAGTGCAAGAGAAGACCATAATAAGTGGCATTAGAAAGAAAAAAGAAAATGGCAAATGCTACCACAACACAACAGACTTGGCTGTTGCAAAGCCCTTCAACCAAAAAAGGACAACACAATACCTGCATACCCCACCCTGAACACGCACAAAAGAAGAAAACCTATTTATGTTAACTCCTCTTTTAATTTAAGGTCTCCATAACAGACAAGTCTCCTTTGATAAACTGAAACCTCAAACAAACATATATCCTCCAAAAGAGAGACACCCAAGGCTAACCTGCAATTGCCAGAAGTCCAAGGCTAGCCTGCAATTGCCAGAAGTCCACTTACATGCTCTCAAGCTAGAGAATCTATAACCAAGTTGGCTGAGCTTTGCACCCATTTGAATGAAGGAGAAGCCAAACTTGACTAAGGCCCATGATTTACCCTCCCCAGCAGCTCCGATCCAAGTTCTCTTCAACTAGAATACATAATTACATATAATGAAAGACAAAAGCTCTGACATTTTACTTTATCGTCTTCGACTCTTACGAGCCTTGCGGATCTTCAATTGCTTCAGAATATACTGAATAACCTCCTTCAAGTTGGCTTTCCTTTCTTCCGCAAAATTCCAAAGTTCAGGAACTGCATATCTCCCACTTGCATTGTATTCATTTATCTCTAATAACGCATTACATACAGAACCATACACTTCAATACCCCACTCCTTCAATTCTATTAGTTTCTCATCGCTGTCATCTATTACTTCCGGCAATATTCAGATGTTATACTTCACAAACCCAGAAAATGCTAGATTAACCATGGACCATAGTTTCTTATTTCTTATGCCCTTTCTTCATAGTTGGTGAATAGGGCCATAAAAGAGAAGAAATATAAACAAATTTGAGAGATTGGCTACATACTTGGAGGTCCCCATTAATTAAGGTTTTTCTGAAAGGGTGCCAATCTGAACTTTTAATGTTCTCCTGCCATAATGAGCACAGTTTAACAGACTCCATATTCCAATCTTCAGCTGGAAACTTCTGCACGCAAATATTTCGAAATGGTTTCTGATCAAGCTCCCCCATTCGCTTGACCCCAATTTTAGTGGCACTATTAAAGCACTGCTGCAAACCCTGTGGTCAAGAGGGAAAACTTTTCAGTACAACAGACCTTTTGTAGGGTCTTAAGAAAAATATTACCGAGGCCCATGAAAGGCAGTGACTTGGATCTGGTGAAGGAGGAGCCTCCAATAACTCGCCACCTGTTGCATATCAGGGGATCAGAACCATCATTGGATGAGAGCACATCTGCGGCAACCTCTGTCGCCACATTATCGAGCGACTTCCAATAAAAGGTGAACACGTCAACTTTGTTTATTCTCTGAAACTTAACGGTGCCTAACCGCGGACCTTAACAAAAGGTTAAGTTACTTTATTGAGCTTATGCACTAAAAATCAGCAAGATCAGATCACTATTGCCATATGATTCATAAATTTACTTTATTGAGCTTTCCAAGAATTCTTATAGCTATACCCATTCAATGGTGTATTCCAGTCCCCTAAATAAAGAACAATTGGCAAGTTATGTGTCCCTATACCATTTTAGAAGTCTTGTGGCCCCAGACCCAAGGTTTTTCCTTGAGAAATCCTTACATCAATCAATTCCTTGCGTGCTTCCTGTAGCTCAAGGTTACTTCTGCGTTCTTTAACCATTAGAGTTCGATTAAGAGCTTCAAGATCTTCTATTTCACCTGCTTTCTCTTCTAGTTTTCTAACGAGAACTTCAATCTGCTTATGGACATTGAAATCATCATCACTTTCCACATGTTTCTGTTCTGGAAATTTTCCTTCCTTTATGGTTATATTTCTTCTAAGCTGCACTTCAGTAGACATCAATATGACAAAGTAATCGTCGGTTGTATAAGATACCAAAACAATAACCAGAAAGTCTAAAACCACAGTTAATAGTCATAAAAGACTCTGATAAGAATGTAAAATCACAATGCATAGTTTATTATTACAACAGAATCAAGAAAGCTATTTTTTGGTATAGGATAGCTAAAAAAGACGAGGCCATGGTTAATGAGCACTTAGAAGCATTTTTCAATATCAAGTTTTGAAAAAGTCTAGTCCAAAATCATTAGTGACCTGCACCAAGTCCAAGAAAAGAATTGATACACATTGGTTGATACTGGCCAATATGGATCAGAATTTGACCTTGGTGATGCATATCCACCATGAAATACCAGGAACAGACCAACTTTCTACAGTATCAAAATGTGTACCTTATGGTACCAATCCTGATCATATCAACAACCGTCAATGTAACTAAACAATATCAAGCCAAGCATTTCACCATTTCATCACTTGTACCTTGCATCATTCAACTATATTTGGCAGACTTTTTACCTACATGGTGAATCCAGCAATCCATCTGGGATCAATCATTAGAAACTTCACTGAAACAATCAAGTTGCAAAATTACCACAGGCCAGACTTTACATTGAACTATGTAACAAGTCCAAAGGAACGAAATTCCTCAAATTGACAGATCCTTCAGCCAGAAGCACAAGTTAGGAGTATCTGCTTAGAGAAGAAAATTAGGGGACAAATGTTGGTTCCGGATATAACCTTTTTTTATTTTTATTTTTATTTTATTTTATTTTTTTTTTTTGGGGGGGGAGTATAGAATGCATTAAACACATTCCTTAAAATATAATAGATACATAATTGAACTAAAAAAATATATATATTAAACATGTATTCATCATGCAATGAGTACATATATATTTATGTATTAGATATGTTTAGCACATCTAACATATATTTACTTTGGATCCTATAATTATATAATGTTAAATTTGGAAAATCAACACAAAAACTATAGAATGCATTAAACACATTCCTTAAAATATAATAAATATATAGTTGAACTAAAAAAAATATATTAGACATGTATTGATCATGCATAAGTACATACATATATTTACTTTGGAATAACCTATGCACACTAACCCACAGATAAAATTCTGTCCTTCAAAACAGATTTCAGCGTATCTTCAGTTTCAAATTTATTTTCAAAAATCCTCAGGTTCCTCTCAGTCCATATTGTCCACATCACGGCACGAATAGAAGTCTTCCAAATAATGGACCATCTTTGCTAAACCCCTTAAGATTCCAGCTCAAGGAAATCAACCACAGGTTCTGGATTGCACCCTCTCACCCCAGATTCCTTTCACCCTCACCCACAGAACATCCGTGACTTTGCAATGGATAAACAAGCGGTTAGTAGTCTCTGGAACCTCATTGCACAAAATGCAAGTATTGCTCGACAGCTCAATTCCCCTCCTTACCAACTTTTCCTTTTTGAAGCACCTGTCAAGAGCAGCTGTCCAAAGCAGTTTTCAGAGACTGTAAAGAGATCCTCTTTTACCATGTGTTTTTGCCTCAGTAATATATTCACTCAAGCCTACATTTTCCTAAAGACCAGTTTTCAGAGATGAACTAGAAAAACACACAGAATCTGGATTTTAATAGTATTAAACAGAATAATAGCAGATTAGAACCTGATACACTTTAAAAAGATCGACATTGAAACCATAAACCTTTTTAGATGAATTATATAATTTATATTATATAGAAAAAGAGAAAATAACATACAAAAAAGGATGTATAGATATGCACAAAATATGAACAAAAATATTGCGCACTCCTAATCAAATTCTATTTAAGCAGTGTACTAAGGCCCTGTCAATTCTCAATTTGGCCCCCACATCAGCAGTGGTAGTCAACTATCTCAGGATCCATATAACCTGGGCATTCAACAAATCCATAGATCCCCTTATTTCGTTAAGGAAATAAGTTTAGTCTTCAATGTCCATAACCCACCTTTTTGGCATCACAATAACATGTTGGAGTTGATCTCAATTACCAGGGAAAAAATATAAAGTTGTTTATCTGTATATAAGGAAAGCCCCATGGAATCAACTTCTCCATTGGACCCAACAAATGCCATAAAATGATGCCATCTTTTTTGGAGAAAGCCTCACCAATCCCATCTAGGTAGGATTCCAAATGGATCTACCATTAAACTATAATTTGATTGTATTAGCTATCAGTGGAGAGAGATTGTTTCTATTTGGGGGGTCCACAAGGAAAACCAAAGGATTCCAGTAATTCTTTTAGAGATAATTAATTGAAGCCATCAAATATAGCCACCGGATATTGCATTTATATTTTTCAAGTTCTACAGTCCCCACATCAAATGAGCAGAACCTAAGAGATCTTATGACAGCTTAGAAGCAGTGGGAACTTATGCCTTCACTTAAAAAATGAATGAATAAATAAATAAATTAGTACCAATATTTGACACTAATTAAGATAGAATCAAGGAACTAGTAACACAAAGACTTTATGGATACCATTTATGTGACTTCAACATGGCCATTTGAAGGGGATAACTTTGGCTGTTGGGGGCCACAGTCTATACTGTTGAGAGCGTTTGAAGTGGATTTTGCTAGTATAAGGCCCACAAATACAAATGTATATAGCCCTACATGTAGTCATTGACGACTCCCATTTAGTTGAGTCAAAGCCAGTAAACCCTAAAATTTCTCGTATTTCTCCTAGCAAGTTTCTAACTCTAATTTGAATTTTGAAAAAGAGATAAGGATTAGAGAGAATAGGAAAGTGGTTGAGGAAAGGTAGGAGATGTGGGTGATTCCTATTGGTCAACACATGAGGTGGTTCCCTAATGGGAGGAACCACCTAGAGTTTTGGGTGGATAGGGTCCCTCCCTCTAAATCGATTTTGGTAGTGAGAAGCCCCATATTTCATGCTACCATCAAACTAGCATTGGAAAGTAGAGAGAACGATTGAGAGTAGGGCTGTTCATAAGAATGCCCAACCCGACCAAACCGACCAACCCGGACCGACCCAACCCGAGTCGGCCGGGTTTTCATCAGTACCGGTCGGTTTCGGGTTGGGCAAATATATAAACCGATATATCGGGTCAGTTTCGGTTTTCTTGTGTGAAAACCGAAACCAACCCGACCCGAACCGAACTATTCTTCTACTAGTTCGGTAGTTCCTAGTTTGAGTAGTTTCCTACTTAACTATAACTATTCTTCTACTAGAACTAGAAGGCCCATTAGGCAATTACAATTAAAATAGGCAATCTATCCTAGTTTCTAACTTTCTATTATCTTTTACAATTAGAATTCAATTAGGTGTCCTTTTGTACAGGAGCAAAACCGAAACCGACCCAAACCGACCCAACCCGACTCAAACCGACCAGGTCGGTTTGGCCTATCAGTGGGTCGGTTTCGGTTTCCACCTCAGGTAACCCGACCAGGTCGGGTCGGTTGGGGAAACCCCAATAAACCGACCCAATCCGACCCGTGAATACCCCTAATTGAGAGAGGGAGACTAGGCCGTAGCTATCTAGTCAAGGGCTAGAGAAAAGAAAGGATAATTTTGAGAGAACAAAGAAGATAATCGAACCAGCTCCAATTGCTATACCCTTGGGCGTGACTTTCAAGGAAAAAAAGGCTCAAATAGAAGCAAGAGATAGAATCTAGTTGCTGATTAATCCATATTGAGTGTATCTGATCAAGAAAAGAACAAGGAATTGGTGCATAGATAATGGCAGCTGCAGGTATGATTTTATATAAATTAACCTTGTTTTGTTCTTGTGATTAAGTTGACACTCGATCAACCCAAAAGATTTATCAAAAATGAATTAACAGAAAATTGTTCTTGGAAACTGATAAAATTTATTGATAATAATAATAATATATCAAAAAATATTACCAATTTCCAATAATAAGAAAAATAATATGATCACCTAGTAAATATTCTTAAACTTTGCCAAGTTTGTACTTCATACAAATACGTAGGTAGGTAATCACTAAAATGTTTTTTTTTTTTTGGTGAGAAAATAAGATGATGCAGTGGTTTGTTACCAATCTCATACCATTGGATGCATATCACAAGAAGAGTTCAATTTTTGACAAAATTTACCCTTTTCTTTTCAGTATTTAGTTCTTTCCACTTGAGGTCATGTTGGGCTTCTCACTTTTCCAACTCTTTAGTTCGCTGCTCAAGTTCTTTCTGTTGAGATTCCAACTCCAACTTCAACTTCTCATTTTCTTGGGTAAAGTGGAAAGAAAGTTTGTCTGAAATGCACTGCATCTTCCTAATTTCTGAGGAAAAACAACAAGTACTGATGCATTTGTTAAAAAAAACTCACATCAGACAGAAGAGTAGTAAAAAAGTGAATTTATATCTAAACATAGTTGAAGTTTTACAAGCACTAGTCATTTTATCAATAATTGTAAAATTTTATTAAAAAATGAAAGAATAATATGCACAAGTATGCCAAGCATCTCTCAAACAAATGGGCTGGTCTCAGCCACCTATCCCAAATTGTTTTACATCCTTTCTGAATTTAAAAGACTATGTCCCCCATTCACCCCCTTGCTTGGCTAGAATATCAGTGGGACACTTTGTTGATCTTTTGACCCAAGAAAAGGTGGTACCTATCACCCTTGTGCTTCCTCAAGACATGTCAGTATTGTTATTGTCCTTGCCCTTGCCTTTTTATCCAACCCACCACTGATTCTAAGTCACCTTCCACCTGCAAGTTACTGGAATTTAATGATGTATCCAATCTTAGTCCCTGCAAAACTGCTAACGTTTCAGCCTTTCCCTGCCTATAGGACCGGAGTTCGTGGCAAGTATAGTCACATGTTCATCCCTGAAAAAAAAAGGCAGCCTAGTGTGCGAGGCTCTTGGCAATGCAGAGTCTGGGGAGGGATAGATGTACACAGCCTTACCCCTGCACATATAGAGAGGCTGTTTTAAAGATTTGAACCCTGGTCACCCAGATCACAATGGAGCAACCCAACCGTTTTAGACCTCTTAGAAAATTACAAGCTATAGATAAAAGAAAACAATACAGAGAATACATAAACAACAACCTGATTTGATCCTATATGATCTTAGACTGGTTCATGAAATCAAAAAGATATGATGCAAACTGCAAAGTGAAGCTGGATACACTGAGGCATTCCATACTAGATTGCCTTAAGGGGTTGCCAGGTTGCAAAAGATCCACTTCTTAGAGTAGTAATAAACAATGAGATTTAAAAAGGAGGTTGTTTTTATTTTTGAGTAAAAGGAAAATCATAATTATCTCCTTTTATTGTCCAACATAATGTGAATGTCCTAGCTTCCCTTTGTATCCTAAATTCTATCAAAACCAACCAAAACAGGATATTACCCAATGTTGGTCCTAACCAATGTTCAGAGAACCAGACTAGGCAAAGAACCAGAAAAGGGAGAGTTTCACGGGTCAGAGGTTCAATCGTGATCAAACCAGAGGTCAAACTGTGATGGCATAACATAAATACTATATAAAATATATTTTACAAATGTTAATTACACTTGGATGTGGTGGATAGATGGCTAATTCCTAAATTTTTTAAAACAAATGATCAGGGTTCAAGCCTCTTAACTCACGTTTTCTTTAAACTAGTGTGTATTAAAGCAATATATACATGTTTTTCAAGAAGATAACTAGAATTCATTACAAAATGAAGAAATACATGAGAAGATGTACAACCAACACTATAAAAGCTAAAGATGCTGACTACAAAGGCAGAGCATTTAGATCTTTGGGAATCCAAAGTAAAGATATTGCCGTAGGTTCTAAATGTCCCTAGCTGATTCCAAGATTAGAATATATGATTGTATCTTTACTTTAGAATCTATGACTGTATTCGTGATCAGTTTCTTTTCACATTTTTCAATCACTGGATTCCAAAAACTTAAACTCCTTGGGTTTCCTCTAGGGGAATCCCCAAGTAAGAAATGGGGAAATGTTATTCTTTACACTCCAAGACCTTAAAACTTTCCATAAGGCTCCTATAAGCAATGTTTAAAGCAAGGCATTAATGAATACAAATAAAGAGATGGATTAATGGTAACAAGACTACACATAAATAAAAGGTTTTGGGTTCAAGTCTTGCCATTACCATATCGAAATTTTTATTCATGTGGTGATCTGGGCGGTTTTATAAAACCGGTACCAGTTCACTAGTTTTCTGGTTAAACCAAGCAGTCAGCTGGTTATCATGAATTAAAGTTTTCACGGTATGACCAAACCGGCCAGAGGCCCAAGTCACAGTTCATTGGTCCCAACCAACTAGAATCTTAAGAAGGGCGCATTGGATAAGGACCTAATTTTGGCATTTTTTGCACAAAGTAACCATCATACTCAAACCTAAACCTAAATTCTCATGCTTGTCAACCCAGGATTTTACTATTGCAATAAGCAATGACCCTTTATAAAAATCAATCAAACAGCAAATACCTCCAACCTAGGGCATTAATATAGGAATCCAGCCAAAAGTTACTATTCTATTCTTTCCAACTTAATGGGTATCACAAATTTTTGCAAGTTGAGTATTAGCACTGTCATGTGAAGCCACTTAAGGACCATAGGAATCAAATAGCTTGGTGCTAGATGGACCTAATATAGACCATCTATTTTTGTCAACAACAAATGTAATTTTTTATAATAGTAGATGTAATGTCAAATGATCCATGGTGGAATCAAATGATATAAACCTTTGAAAACTCAATATCAATTTTAAACAGTGTTGCCCAGGGTTTTCAGCATGCTACCAAATTTTGTTTCACCTATTTTTTGGAATTTAACTCACTGAGAGCATGCCAAAATATCAAGATGTAGAATAAAAGTACTTCATTCATTCACCATCAACAACTAACAAAAGAAAGATAAAATTACCACCTAAACATGAACATCTTTAAGGAAAAAAAAAAAACAAGAAAGAGAAATTACAAGTTCTAGATTGTAGCATACCCATGTAACCTTGATGCAGCTTCTCTTTCTCCTCCATCATCCTACTAAGGGATGCAGATATCTTATTGTATTTTCTTTCCACTTCTTGCAACATTTGGTTTTTGACATCAATCTCCTTGGCTAGATTAGCAACTAGTTTGCCCATTCTTTTTAATTCTTCGTGCATGTTATTAGCCATTTAACAGGGAAAATCCTAGATAAATACATGGACCATTAAGAAACTCGAAAGTCAGAACCTGCAAGTTAATATAATGCCAGGACTAATGGTTTGAGTACCAAATTGACAAGATAAGAACTTATGAGACAATAGGTAGAATTTTTTTCTTTCTTTTTATGAAAGTAACTTCTGAGACAAAAGGTACAAAAATGAAACTATTAATAATCCAGAAGAGTTTTAGAGTGTACACACCTTACCTAAGAAAGTTTCTCAAAAACTTAATTATGGAAATGCATTTATAATGACCCAAGGCCTTTTGTGCAAGGAAACTTGATAGTACAACCAATACCTATATTCAACACTTCACATTAAAATAAAAAAATGCTACAAAACTCGTTTCCCTATAGCAAGTAGAGATTATTGCTCAAATCTTATATCTCATTGTCTTAATTGTTACAGTATGTACCTTTCTAAAAAATCGTTATTGTATTATATACTATAATCTCACCTTTCCAAAAAATCTCACCATCAATAACTTTTAACTCTTTCAAAAGATTTATCAATAAGACTGACAAGGTATCCAACAATCCATATATTATTTTGCTTACCATGTTAGCAAATTTTGTACGGATTATGCTAAAAGTCCTATATATTAAAAAAGAACACTCTAATTCTTTTCTAAATTAATGTCAAGTAAGGTTCTAGCTAACCCCATATCACCACCAAGGGAATAAAAAAAACTAAATCAACATTTTTCCGTACAGTTAATATACCACCATCCTTGAAGATTGTAGATCCAAAATGAAGAAATGACTCTTTTTCTTCTAGGTATGATCCTTTGTTTCCACCTCAGATAACTCCAAGACTAAGGTGTGAATTCTTGCC